ACACACACACACACACACACACACACACACACACACACACACACACAAGTATACGATATACTGAAGAACTAACCATAAATAGCAGCAAGAAGATCTTTTTCTAAAAATTTATTTGGCGGCGCAGTTCTCCCACTATCCAGGAACTTTTTCTTTTGCACATTGCAGCTACTAATAACATGAGTCAGCAATTTTTCTGTGCCAAACATATGCTGTGCAAGGGTATAAATGTATGCTTTGTCACCAGTTTCATTGTTGTTTGATGGATCCATATACATAATTTCAGCAATAGCTTTTATCTTCTCCCAGCCTACCACAGGCACCCATATCGCTGGATTTTCATGTATCAGTATTTTATCCTAAAATAAATTAAGAAGTCATATTTTAATGCTAAATTTATGTAATAATTGAAAATATCATATACTTGATAGATAACATTTCAAATAAGAATTAAGAATACCTCTTTAATATTCTCGAGTGACATTGCTGATGCTGCTGGTTCTTGTGTTTCAGTAGTATCCATAGGTTCGAGTTTTACAGGTCCATTGTCAGCTACAAATGAATCTTCAATATGAAATCTTGAGGTATTTAATGATAATGACTCAGATGTGGCACGTTCTACGCTGACTGGTAAAAGGCATGCTGAAGGTTTTGATTCTGATAAAGTATTGGTTGTTGAAGTTCTTGATGATACAGGAGTGGATGCTGCACATTTTGATACCGATGTTGGAGATTTGCTACTTAATGGAGAATTAAGTTTTGCAATTTTACTAATTCTTTCTTCATTGCCTTTAAAATTTTCATCAAGTAATTTATTTTTATCAGATATTATTGAAGAGGATTTTTCAATAAATCTGCTTGAAGAAACTGATAATGAAGTTTTCGATGATGATAATGATGACGTATATGAACTTGATGCAATAGTACAAGGTGGAGACTGTGTAAGTTGTTCAACATGTGATTTGGCGCTGTTTGCTGAAGATGATGAAAAATACTCTTTCTGGTATAATATATTAAGAGTTCTTATCTCTTCCAGCTCCTTTTCTAACTTTTTTATTTTTGTTTCCAGTGATTTAATTTTTTTAGCTTTGTCCTGCATAGCCTCCACATGCAACTTCTTAGGCATAACATCATCATCTGAATCATCTGATGATTCTTCTTCCTCTTTATGGTAATCTTCATCATAATTTTCATCATAATCTTCATCATAATCTTCATCATTTTTAGTTGCAGTATATTTATCTCGCTTGCTCCATAAAAGTTTCTTCCTTTTGGTAACAAATTTTTCTGCGAGCACAGTATGTGCAGATTCTTTCTTAGTCTTTCCCTACAAGTTCAAAATAATTGTAAAATTTAAGTTACAGTTTCTTTAATTAATAATTTAAAATAAAATATATCAATACATAAAATATATCAGCAAAAAATAAAATTATATATTAAGAGACAACGGCAGTGTCTCGCGCTGTCTGAGTCTCGATTTCACACTTTATTTTTAATAACTAAAAATATAGTTTTATATAATTATTATAAGTTTTTTATTATAATAAATAATTTATAAACTATTAGTTTTTTATTATAATAAATAATTTATAAACTATTATAATATTTATAATAGTAAATTTATACTATTATTACTATTATAAATATTACTATTAGATATAAATAAGTTTTAAAACTATAATTATTTGTATACTTTAAAAAAATTTAATTGTTTATTTTTAGATAAATCAAATTGTTTTTGTTTTATTTATGGAAAGAATGCATAAGTTTAATGAACGATATTATACAAAATTAAAATAGAAGTAGTAGGCTCTGAAATTGGAAATCCTCAAATGAGAAAAAAGTGGGCTAATTATAATAGAGACAGGCACGGTAAACGTTGCGCAAATGTTTCTTTTTTTATTCAAATTGTTTATTTTCGTACGTTTCGGACCATCCTCAATTCCTCAACAACTATCCATACAAATTAATAAATTATGTGAAGAACAGATGTTCTAATTGGATTCGCCAAAAATATACATAAATATAAAATAACAAATACGTACGCAATAATCGTTCAAATTAAAAATGTACCTCTCTGTGGTCCCAGAAAATTCTCTCGGCGAGCAAGTATAATGAGCCACCCTCCGGTTCCAGCTGTAAGGATAATCAACACACAAATACCGTATATTTTTCTTACGGATTGGAACCGGAGGGAGGTTTATTATTCTTGTTTGCCGATAAAATTTTCTGAGACCATCAAAGAGATTAATTTTCAATTGGAATGATTATTGCGTATGTATTTGTTATTCTATATTTATTTGCATTTTTTGCGAATCTAATTAGAACATCTACGGTTTACATAAATTATTAAATTGTATGCATAATTGTGTGCTGAGGATTGTCCAAAACCAGAAACGTACGGAAATAAATAATTTGAATAAAAAAAGAAACATTTGTGCAATTAATTCTTAAGAATTATACAAAATGTTTGATAAAATTTAATTGTTTTTCTTTATATTAATTTATGCTTTGATATACGTCTTACTTATTTTCATATAATTGTCATATATTTTTGAACAATATAATTTTCTATTTATACTGGCACAATTTTTCAATCACATTATTTTTGTATTATAATATTTCTTACTTAAACGAGTATAAACTTTCAAGATCAGCACATATCTGCGTATAATATGTATGACATATTATATTTTGATAATCTTACAGCAACATTTGTAGTACATGTCGAATGTGTATAGTGCATTTTTTATAATTCTTTCTTCAAATATTTTTTTATTAACATATTTTTGTTAAAGTAGACTTTTTATCCCAGAAGGAAGAAGTAAGAATCCATAAGTCATTATATAATCATATAAATCAAAATATCGGTTTATCAGAAATAAATCCATCCTTGTCCTCTCTTTTTATTCATTAAAGTGCGACAGTAAATTATAAGCAATCGGAATAAATGTAACTGCCAATATACGGTCAGGTGAAATCTTTTACGTCAAATATTTTCTTGTGTAAATTTACGTACATTCTTTGCTCCGTAAAACTGCGCGTTGTTACTTACGGATTTAAAATGCAGCTTAAAACCAAAACTAGAATAATACTATGACCTAATTAAATTGATAATCAATTTAATTTAATACATTGATATATTTCCCTTCCCCCAACCCCTCGAAAATCAAAGAATATGTTACAAAAAATATCATCTCAGTCAGGAATCGAACCTGGGATCTCCCAACTATCTGGAATGAATGTCTTAACCAATTCGACTGATTGTGAGACATGTGGTGATATTTAAATTAAAAAAAAATTAAAACCCAAGTAGTACATATAACTTTGTGTGTATTCCCATTTAAGAATTTTTCTATTCTAACCCAGGTAGTAGTAGCTTTAATTTTTCTTAACATATTACACCTCGAAAAAACCTAAGTAACAAAGTGATAGACGTAATCTTTGTATCTCGAAAAATCTCGAAAAAACCTAAGTAACAAAGTGATAGACGTAATCTTTGTATCTCGAAAAATCATGAAAAAACCTAAGCAGTACGTTACCTTATCAAAAATGAGTCGTGCTTCAAGTGATCTATTACAATTACAAAAAAGAAATGATATCTCTTTTTAAATTACAGCGCCAATTACAGAGAGAACATACACTGAGATAAAAAATTTGTCAATCCCAAGAAATATTTAGTCCGATACGTTCAACTAAACATTTCAGTTAGTTAACTAAACATTAGTTGAATTAATTAATTCTTGATTAAGAATACGAAATAAATTGTTGAAACAACTAATATTTAGTTAACTAACTAAAATGTTTAGTTGAACGTATCGAACTAAATATTTCTTGGGATTAACAATTTTTTCTCTCATTGTATTTTTCGAGATACAAAGATTACGTCTACCACTTGTTACTTAGGTTTTTTCGAGGTGAAGAATTACAGAGGTAACTATACAAAATACAAATATTTTATTAAAATATTTAAACCCAACAAGGGAATACAAGGTATTTAAATACAAAGTTTGTATATGTATTTTAAAAGATTTAATCGCATCGCAAAGAATTACAGAGGTAACAGTACAAAATTAAAATATTTTATTAAAATACATAAATTTTTCTTGTCAAAAAACTTGGCGCTGCTAG